CCCCGGCCCAGCAGCCACAAGGCCAGAGCCCTCCCCAGGCTCCAGGAGAGGCAGGCGGGCGCCGGGGGACGCAAGAGCCGTTTGAGGCAGAGGGTAGGCCTGGCCGGGCCTCAGGTCTCCACAATCGGGGACTCGGGAGTTGGGGTGGAAGGCCAGGGCCAGAAGGGGAGCGAGATGGGGGGTGGGAGGTGAGGGGCAGTGGAGGACAGTGGAGCCTGGCCTGTGGGAGGCGAGAATTGGGGGTGGGGATGGCGGGCTCGACGGCTCGAGCGGTTTCCCGGAAGTCACCTGCGACCATCTTCTCTCTGCTGCGCCAACAACTAGGCAGCCCCAGAGTCAACATCAGCCAAGGTGGGTCTGGCTCCCTGCTCTGTGGGGAATCAGCTCCAGGACCCAACGTGGGGACAGTGGAACTGGACAGGTGACCAGGGCTGGCCCTGGGGCTGGTTGGAGGGAGGAGGAGCACCAGGATGGCTGCCAAGGGTCTGGGTCACCTCCTGAGACCTGGGGAGCACCGGCCTGGAACTAGGGTACCCCATTTCAGGAGTCTGGCCCTCCACTCCCCTCTAAGGTGTGGGTCTTAGAAACAAGTTGTCTTCGTTAGCCGGCAGTCCTGTCCTTTTAGAAATGGAGAATTGTAAATCAGAGATGGGGAGCAGCTTTCCCCAGGTCTCACAATACCTCAAGACTCTTGACTGGGATTCTTTCTTTTTTGAGACTATGGGGTAAAGTGGAGGGGACACAGCCACCTAGAAATGGTGACCCGGGCATATACGTTTAGCAACATCTGAGCCCTTTAGTTCCCTGATCTGTGAAGTAGGCGTGGAGTATGTCCTGCTGAGGGAATAAGGTTACAAGGTCTAGCTCCTGGCCAGCTCTTGTCAGAGCCTCCTGAGGCTACAGTGCTAAGGCCACAGTCACCCTTACTCCACCCCAAGCCCCTTGGCCCTGATTCTCACAGAGTTTGCTCAGCTGTGCTCCACAGTCCAGTCCCCAGTGATGATCATTGAAGGCAAAGGCTAGGGTAACCCTCAGTCATTCTAATCAGGTCCATTATACCTTGACCTCGTTTTTTCCATCTTTCATGTGGAGAAGGAGCCTCACTGGGGTGACACCCAGGGGCATCATGGTCCCTCTAACAGGTGTGCATGTTTGGGGGGGGGGTGTATGTTCACAGTATGCGGAAAGCCCAAGGTGGTTGGGAAGATCTTTGGAGGTCAGGATGCAGCACCTGGCCAGTGGCCGTGGCAGGCCAGCCTGCTCTACAAGGGCCAGCACCTCTGCGGAGCTGTCCTTGTCGACTCCCACTGGCTACTCTCCACTGCACACTGCTTTCTCAAGTGAGTCTTCTTTCCCTGGGGCCCTGCTGGAGTGACTGTCTAGGGAGGAAGATTCAAGAGGATGAGAAGGATAGGGGCAGGGGCTCTCATGCCCTCCTGTCATAGGATTTGCTCTAGTCAGTCTGCTGCCACCAATGCAGTTCCCTCCACTTGACCTGTCCTCCCCACTCGCCACCTGGCACCCCTTCATCCTTAACTCTGGGAGGAAGCCTGCCACCTGCCCACTGTGGCTGTCCCCCTAGCACAGATTTTCCCTGAGAGCATTGGCAGTGGCTGTCTTGACCACAGTTGACCAGGAATCCTCCTCACTACCCACCCGCCTCCTGTTAGTCACAATTTAGGAGGCATCAAAGCCCTTGAAGATAATGCAACAACTAGGTGACTCTTTATCACTTCCGTAAAGTGAGTGCCTGGGAGGAGCTGTTGATTGCTACTGTCCCATGTAACAGGATGCAAGGGAGGGAGGACCTTGGAGACAATGTGGACAGTCAGGAGTCCAATTCCTCTGGCCTTGCTGGGCCTGACTTGGTGCCCAGCTTCTGCTGGAACAGATGTAGAGGGAGTGAGGGGCACTGGGGTCCAGATCAGGGAGCTGTGCCTATGTGCTTACTAGCTTTGTGGTTCTGTCGACACCTGAGACCCTCTCTTGGCATAGGGGGGTTGAGGGGTCTTCCCCTTCTCAGGAAGGCAAGGCAGAGATCCAGTAAGCACCATGCAGGAAAGCAAGCCCAGTGTGGGTGAGAAGGGCAGTCTGAGGGAGAGGCGTCCAGAGAGCTGCTGTTGTCTTGGGGTAGGGCTTGCCAGAAGGAAGGGTTGGGCACGTGGAGTATGAGGAGGACCTTCCAGAGGTGTGGTTATGAGACCTCAGCCATGTGGTCAGGAATTCTGTCAGTTGCGCCTGGAACCAGGAGAACTGCAGTTTCATGCAGCCCTTTGTTCATTCAGCAGGTCATTTCGTACTTGACAGGGGAGGGGCAACCCTTGAGAGGGGACAGGCGAAACTGGAAAGGCCAGAAAATGGGTGCAGGGAGGCTTCATAAAGCTGAGGCTGGAACTGGTATGGGCCAGAACTCCCTTATATAATATGAAAAAGCTAAATTTTATGACCCCATCAAGGACCCTTTTAGCACTAGGACTCTGCTCCTCTGACTTGGGGTGTGATAGGAAGGCTATGTGTCCTGAGGTTGCAAGTAAGATATTCTTCAGCTTCAGGACTGGAGGGTGCCTGATTAAATACATAAGTAAATAGATTTTAAATTAAAAAAAATAAATGGGAGAATTATGGCAGGGTGGAGGAGCCCAATCAGGTGTGGGCAGTCAGACAAGGATGTAGGACTCTTTGGGGGGTGACAGTGAGTAACAGATCCTTCCTTCTCCAGCAAATCACAGGCTCCAGAGAAATACCAGATTCTGTTGGGAAACACCCAACTGTACAGTCAAACCCAGCACTCTCAGAAGATATCTGTGAACCAGATCATCATCCATCCAGATTTTGAGAAATTTCATGCTTTTGGGAGTGACATCGCGATGTTGCAACTGAGTCAGCCTGTGAACTTCACTTCATATGTTGTCCCTGCTTGCCTCCCATCCCTGGACTTGCAGCTGCCCAGTCATGCATCCTGTTGGATAACTGGCTGGGGAATGCTCACCGAGGACAGTGAGGGGGTGTGGGAGACTGGGAGGGTAAGGGAGAAGGAAGAGAGGAACTAAGGAGGGGCAGTTTAGCCAGGCAGGGAGGCCCAGGATGTTTGCTGAAGCTCTGGGTCTTGGTCCTCTGTGCTTCACTTCCGTGATCTGTAAAATGAAGACCAGACCAAACTAGGGCCCTTCCAATTCTGAAAGTGTGTGATTCCACAGCTTGAGAGTCCCAAACCCAGGTTCTGAAAGTGTGGAAATCTCTGACTTTCAGAATCAAGAAACTGAATTCTTTAGCAAACAAACAAATACTTTAATAGACACAAAATGAAAAATTAACTATTGATGATAATGTATATGGTAATATCTTTGACTTGACTGATAAGCATTGTATTCATGTTGGTGGGGGGGAAGTATCTGGGTTGTTTAAGTCTTCACTGTTCTTGACTCCAAAATTTCACTCAGCCTTGATTCTGAGATGAGTGGATTTAATTAAAAAATCATGCTTAGGGGATGGCCCATCTGAGGTAATGTCTAAACACCTTGATTTTTCCCTTACCATATAAGGTACTTAGGAAAAGTAGAAACACAACACACGCACACACGCACACACACACACACACACACACCACTGTAGCTTCTGACTTCTAAGCCTATGCAGTCAAGTTAGAAGGATTATGACTCAGAGTGTTTAACTTCTCTGAACATCAACTTGATGTTTCCTTAACCTGGGTCAGCTATCAACTTCATAGTCTTGGTAGGCAAACTGAATAAAAGATGAGAACAGTGTCTTTCTTTTTCTTTCTTTTCCTTTCTTTCCTTTCTTTCTATATGGAAGAAAGAGAAAGGGGACAGAGACTTATGCACAACAGTTATGAAGAAGGGAGTGTTTTTGGTTTGAGGAAATGTTCATGATGTAATGTAGGATAAAAGAATATATGTTTTAGTTATTTATTGGCTCAGTTTGGTACAGTGTTTCTCAACACAGGCGCTACAGGTATTTTTGGACAGAATGCATCTTTATTGAATGAATTTCTGCCAACAACACTGGCCGTTGTCTAGTAAATATCAGGAATACTCCCTAATCATATTACATGCATCCCCCAGCATGTACACACACACACACACACACACACACACACACACACACACACACACACAGACTCCTTGAGGTCAGGGACCACATATTTTTTAATGCTTCAGTCTATACTAAGGTCCTGACCCTGAATGCTCCACTATACTGCTACCACCCAGTCCTGATAGCCTCCAACCTGGTCTCCTGACTTCCCTAGCATGCCTCTGCTGCAGTGGCCACACCACTGTTAGAGTGCTATTTCAGAATACAAACCATGCCACTGCCCTGTTCAATGCCTTCCAGTGCCTTGTCATTAGGAAATTAGAATAAAGTCCACACTCCTGGTTGGCTCTAAGGTTTTGAATGCACTCTGTGTATCATTTCCTTCATCCTTCACATGTACTGTCACCACATGGGCCCCTCACTGTTCCTTGAATATTCCAAGGTCTGTCCTGTCTCTGGGCAATGAGCTTTCAGTTTCTGCTGCTTTCCTTATTCTGCCCTATAATCTTTACATGACTAGTTTCTCCACATTTACATCTCAGCCTTTTCTCTGAGTTTTACTTAATCAAGTGACTAAAACGCATACCCCTTCCCTGTTTAATCTCCTCCATGCTAGTTAATAGATCTAAAATAATTTTATTTACTTATTTAATTCACTCTGTCTCTCCCAGCTAAAAGTGGTTGCCTATACTATTAGTGTCTAAAAGATACCTAGCCCAAGAATAGATCAAGAAATGAGTGGATAGAGGAGTGACTGGATGAATAGATGGATGGAGCGATAGGTTGTAGGATGAGTGGGTCGATGGAAGTAAAGGTGGATGGATAGGTAGACGAGTGGGTGGATAGGGCGGGTGAGTGCGTGGATGGACAGATGGATAATGTTTGGGTGGGTAGATGGATGTATGACTAGATGGCTAGACGTGTGGATGGAAGGATGAAGCAAATGAATGTGTTGATGGAGGAGAAGATGTGTGGATGAAAGGATGAAGTGAAAGAATGTGTTGATAGATGGGAGGGAAGGAATGAGATATTGATGCAATGGTGCATGAATGGGCAAATGACTGGAAGTGGATGAATAGGTATGTGTGAGAAGATGAGTAATGGGTGAGTTGATGGGTGAAGAGGGTTAGTTGGAGAGATGGAATCAAAACTGGTGAAATGTTGCTAAGCCTCAGTGAATGGGTCATGTGTTGGAGGGATTTGCTGCATTGTGGAATAGGAAGGTGTGGTACATTGCCTTGAAGCAGGTAGAGGGAATAGGATGATATTCTGTTAATTAAATATGGATATGGAAAGGCTGGTGAAAAAAGGAGTGGAGGTTATCAAGGATGGGAGAAGACTGAAGTATACCTGAAGCATGGCTGTTCTGAGAACACCTCATGTTTGGAGGTAGTTGTGAGCAGTCAGGCAAGGGATTGTAGGGTAGCCTGGGCTTCCATGGTTAGGCTACCATGCATGGCACTGACTTTTCACTTATCTTTGCAGCACAGCTGTTACCACCCTTCCATCTCCAGGAGGGTAAGGTGGGCCTCATTGAGAACAAGTTCTGTAATATCTTATACGCGATAAAAACAGGCCAAGCCCAGAACTACTCTGTGCATGAGGAGATGCTATGTGCAGGGGACCTCACAACAGGAAAGGCCATCTGTCAAGTAAGTTGGCATCTGGTGTTCACGTGTCAGTTCTCCCAGCCTCTTTTTCTCCAGGGAAAACTTGTGCTGCCTCTTCTTTCTTTGTGGATATACCTGGACTTCCTGTTTCCTTTCCTCTGTGCATCTTCACTGGATTCCATCCCTCAAAATTCCCCCACCCCAGGGACTAGCAGTTAGCGTAATGGCTATGTCACTGTACTCCCATATAGTTGACCATGGTTCGAGTCCCAGACCCACTGGCTTAAACTCACGCTGGGTGCATGTGCATGCGTGCCTAAGGTCCTGAGAGGAGAATGGAGGAGAAGGGATTGCAGCATGGCCATCCCCCCGGGGAGTGATTTCTCACTTTCTGTCTCTCTGTCTCTGTCTTTCTGGCAAGTGCACACATCCTATAGCAAAAACCTCTCAAAAAAAGAAAAAAAAATTCCCCCAGCCCCAGATTAATCCTTTCCCCTGTTCATCCCAGCATGAGGGCACCCACCAGAAGCATGCAAACAACATCCATTTTTGTTGGCTATTTAAACTTTTTAGACATGGCTCACAAAGATGTAGCTCGATGAACTTTCTCTTCCTGACATGTGTTATTAGCACCCAGAGGTCTCCTGTACGCCAAAGCATAACCACCATATGCATTTTCAACACCTTAGATTCGATTCTGAGTTTACACTTGGCACTCTTGAGTCTTCATATTATATTTGGAAGAGTCGGTCATACTGTTTTGTGTATGGTTTTTCATTCTCATTCTGGAGCATGCTGCCATAGGAACTGAATTCTATGATCATTTCTATGCTTGGTGGGCTTTGAGTAGTTTCTTATTGTGAGCAATGCTGTGTGTTGTGTGTATTTTCGTATTTGTGATTGGAGTGCAAACATCATATACTTAAATGTTCTATTTCATAGAAACCCATGAGTAGAATTGCTCAGTGAAAAGGTGTGTGTATGAGTCTGTTTGCCTTTGATAGAAGTTAGCAAACGGCCTCCCTCTGGCAGTCCATCCACAGCTGGCACTCTCCATCATTTTCCCTTTTGGCCATTTTGGTGAGTATGTAGTGGTTTGTGGTTTTAATTTGCATTTTCCTGATGACTAATTAAATTAAATTAAATATGTTTCTGTATGTCTATTGTTATTGGATGTATTTTTGTCTGTGGCTTCCCTTCAAGTGTCTTCCCCTCTCTCATTTTTCTGTTGGATTGTCTTTCTTGTAGGAGCACTTTATATATTCTGGATATAAGTTCACTGTTGGACTGTGAAGATTTTTCTCCACCTTCTGCAAAGTTAAATTTTATATTTGGGAAAACTGAGGCCTAGAGAAGGAAAGTAGCCATCCTAATATGAAGTGGCACAACCTGGTCCTAGGTGCTTGACTCCAAGGCCAACCCTGATGCTCTTCTCTTTCTGGTGGTCTCTGGCCTCCTAAGTTGGCTTCTGTGGGCCAAGCTTTTACATAAATGCTGCCCTGGAGTGGAGAGAAGTGTTAAGACCCTGGAGTCAAACATTGTTTTACACACGGTCCTGCTTGAAGACCTTGCTAGTCTTTTTGCCAAGCTTTGGAGATTATGAGACCTCTTTCATGAGATTAATGAAAGGACCATATAGTGGCTGGAAGAGTGTCCCCCAAAACCCATGTCAGTTGGAATTTAAAAAGTGACTTCACTTGTAAATAGGGTCTTTGATGATATAATTAGTTAACAATCTCAAGATGAGATCATCCTGGACTTAAGGCAAGTCCTAAATCCAATATCTGATATTATTATAAGAGAAGTCATAGAGACACACATATAGAAGATGGTCATGTGAATACAGATACAGAGATTTGAGTGATGCAGCCACCAACCGAGGAATGCCAATATCACAGAAACCAGAGGAAGCAAAGGATTCTTCCCTAGAGCATTTGGAAGTAGTGTGACCTTGACAAGATCTTGCTCTTAGACTCTGGCCTCCAAAACTGCGAGAATAAATGCATGCTGTTTCTAAGGCATTAAATTTATGGCAACGTGTTACAATAAGATCTTGGGAATAAATACAGTAAGCTAAGATCTCAGTGCTGGCAAAACATACTGGAAGATAGAACCAGGTCTCCTACTATACCATCTGAGCATTGAGTCACCTTGGCCTTGGGAAGGGCTCATTGGCACACTGTTTTCATTACTGCCCAGTGAGCTGGCTGAGCCAGGGTGGGGAGTTCAACCCATCTGACCTCCTGGTGGGAGGTAGCATCTGGTTTCTTGATCCCCATCATCCTATCTTTCTGACTGTCTGGCATATCTCAGCCTTTTCACAGCGTCAACCATGCCCCCAGGTGGAGCAAGGAGCCTGCCAAATGCCAGGCCCTGGTGGGGCTTAGCCACTGAGTCCTCTGCAGCAGGCACCTGAGAGCTTTCTTCTAGTCTTGTTTTCCACCTGCTGCCTTCAGCAGAGGCCATGCCGTGGAGCCTTGGGGACAGCACCTTTGACTGACTGCCTGCTGGACATCCCATAATGTCTCCTTAACCCTATGCCTTCTCTATTCTTGCCCCAGGCCAAGGGCAGCACTGAGCTGGCCACCTGGGGGTCTAAGCAGATGTCTCTTTCTCCACTCCTACTCCTCCTTCCTTAGGCTTCCATCACCACCGCCTGTCTAGACTCATCTCCTGCAAAATCACCTGATCTGTCCCCCCAAGCCCCAGACCTTATTCTTTCCTGCATGGAGTGCCTAGAAGTAGCTCAAAGAAGAGATGGGGACAGGGTGATATAAGATTCAGAATGGGGACAGAGCTGGTTCTAGTTCTAAGTCTGCCATTTGCATATGATGTAATCCTAGCTAAGTTCCTTCACTTGTGAAATGAGTTGCTAATAGCCTCCACTTAATAAGAAAACTCAGGGGACGAGCAGATGGCATGATTGCTATGTCACTGGACTCCTATGTAGTTGACTGTGGTTCGAGTCTTGGATCCAGTGGCTTAAACTCACACCAGGCACATGTGCGTACATGCCCAAGATCCTAAGAGGAGAATGGAGGAGACATCCCCCCTGGGCATGATTTCTCACTTTCTGTCTCTCTGTCTCTCTCTGTCTTTCTGGTGAGTGCATGCACCCTATAGCGAAATCTCTAAAAAATATAAATAAAAAATAAAAAAACTCAGCAAGTGCTTAACAAGTGCTGGCTTTTATGGTCCTGGTCCTATTTCTCCCTCTGTCTGAGTTGTTCTTTTGGGCCTGTCTTAGAACCATCCTTTCACCCAAAGTGGAATTCACCACTGTGGCCCTGGACCTACCAGACACATGCACATAGTGGTGTCTTCTATCTCCAACTGCTGCACAGGACACCACAGTGCTGGAGTTCCCTTTGCCTTCTTGGAACTCTCCAGGGGCTGTTGGCTGCAGAGTCCTCCCTGTATTCCCCAGGTAGGCACAGAATCCAGCATGACACTACAGCCACATAATTCACCTGCATGAATTGCAGAGGCCTGGAGTGGACAGGACCACTGCCCATACCATCAGGACTCACACTGGCTCCCAACAGACTGGGTGGTGGCACCCTGGAAGGGGGAACCACTGAAGGGAGGCACGGAGACACTCTTAGGATGACCCCATGTATGAGTTTGTGAGAGCTAGAGGAACATATCACCACAAATTGGTGGCTGAAGCACCAGACAGTTATTATCTTACAGTCTGGGGGATCAAAAGTCTAAAATCATGGTGTCGGCATGCTAGTTGATCTCTAGACCCTAGGGGAGATTATTTCCTGACCTTTTTCATCTTTTAGAGCTCAATGTTCCTTAGCTCATGGTGTCTTCTTCCATTTTCAAGGCACATCAGCCTGACCTCCGCTTCTGTTGTTATAGCTTCTTCTCTGATTCTGACCTTCCTGACACCCTCCAACCTTTATAAGAAACTTTGTGATGATACTGGGTTCACCCAGATCCCCCTGGATCATTTCCCATGTTTTTGTTTGTTTGTTTGTTTGTTTTTGGAGAGGTTTTTGCTACAGGGCACATGCACTTGCCAGAAAGACAGAGAGAGAGAGACAGAAAGAGAGAAGTCACCTCCCTCCCTCCCAGGAGGGATGGCCACACCGTAATCCCTTCTCCTCCATTCTCCTCTCAGGATCTTGGGAACACACACACACATGCCTGGTGTGAATTTAAGCCACCAGGTCAGGGCTTTGAACTGCAGTCAACTACATGGGAGTCCAGTGGCATAGCCATTACACCACCTGCTGGTCCTTCCCATGTTAAGATCTCAACTCAATCCCACCTGCCAAGTGCTTTCTGTCATTTAAGATAACACATTGACAGGTTCCAGAACTGAGCTTTTGGACATCTTTGAGGACCACATCATGTCACTCCTTACCTCTCCCTCAGGCCTCTGTGCCATCCCCAGGCCCCTCCTCCCACTCAGTTCACCATCTTGTTTCTCATGTTGCTGAGAGGACTGACACAGTCATACCTGAGTGCTCATCCTGGCCATCCATGCACCTGCATCTGCTCCATGTCTCCAGGCCCCTCCTGGCTGCTGCACTAGCCTCTACTTGATCACCAGGCTCCTGAGGGCTTTCCTGGCCCTGGCGTCCTCTGCCCTCCCTCTCATGTATCCCAAACATCTTGTCACAGCAGCAATCTCCTGCCACTGCTGCCCAGCTTCTCTACTCCTTCCTCAAAGACTCCCAGAGTTGACTGCAGTGAACTACTTTAACCCACTTCACTTTGGCTTTGTTCTTGTCATGCCTCCAGAGCCCTTTCGTCTTGCCAGAGTCACTGTCACCATTAATGCCCTAGAAGCCTCTCATACCCTGTATTGAACACCAGGTCCCAGATGTCCTGACTCCAGCTAGTCCCGCTCTGCTCCCAGCCTCGGTTCTCAGCCCTCTTACCTTCTCTCTCTGCATCTTCCTGGTGGTTGGTGAGAAAGGGTCAGATACAATCAGTCCCTTGGATCCTCTTTCCAAATACTAACCCAAATCTGGCCATTCCTCACCACCATGTCCTATTCTGCAGTTGCCCCCAACTGGTCTCCCCCACCCCATGTGTGCTCAACAACTGCCTAGTCTTCACACAGCAGCACCACGTTGATCCATTTTGAGGAGATTATGCCCCTCCCTGTGCATGACTCCCCAGATTCCCCACCATGTGGCCCTGTGACTTCTTCCCACACCCATACCACGCCAACCTGTCTGGGCCACTCCTCATCTTGTTTGCCCTACCTGTATGCTCTGTCCCTGAATTTGCAAACTCAGCTTCTGTTTCCTTTTTGTTTATTTATTATTATTATTGTTATTTTAGTTTTTGTTTGTTTGTTATAGGGAGCATGTACTTATGAGAGAGAGAGAAAGAGAGAGAGAGAGAGAGGGAGTTAGAGATCACCCCCTAGGGGGGTGGTCACACCTCAATTCCTTCTTCTCCATTCTCTTCTCAGGATGACTTTGAGACTCAAACCATTCAGTCAGCCATGTGAGAATCCAGTGCCTTAACCACCATGCCCCCTGCTGGCTCCCCATTTCCTTTTTGAACCTCAACTCTGAGTGTGGGTCTAAGGTGGAACCCTGACTCAGGGAATCAAAGCACCTAACACCCGACCTCGCCACCTGATATCTCCAACTCACACAGACCCCTACACTAACTTCTTTCTCTTCTTCCTTAGGGAGATTCTGGAGGCCCCCTTATCTGCTCTCTGCCCAGGACCTGGGTCCTGGTGGGGTTGGCCAGTTGGGGCCTGAGCTGCCGGCATCCCACCTACCCCAGCATCTACACCAGAGTTGCCTACTTCACTGACTGGATTGAGAGAGTTAAGAGGCTCACCCCACTCCCCAAGGAAACATCTATCCCTGCTCAGGCCCACAGCTCCTTCCAGCCTAAAAATGCTGCTGGCTTTCCCAGACCCTACATGGCTCTTATGCCTCCCCAAATCTGGCTCCTGCCACCACTTACCCTTGAGGTCCTAAGCCAGGCATTGTGGTGACACTGAGATCCTGGACCCACCCCTATGCATGCCTGTCTCTGTGCTGGAACCTTTATCTCCCCAGCCCATCCTGTCTCTACATGGCTCCTTCTGCATATGTTTCCTGTCCATCAGCTGCCACTCCCCAAACCAAGCCTGGCAAAGCCAAACCAAATAAAAGACCCATCTGTTCATCACCACACAGCCTATGGGCCCCCTTTCCTCAGCTTTTTCCCTCCCCATAGGGTCAGTTGTCTGACTCCCTGGGCAAGGCAACATAACCTCAAGACTCTCTACCAAGTGTTCCGAAAGGAAAGTGGTTGGGACCTCAAGACTCTACCAAGTGTTCCGAAAGGAAAGTGGTTGTGGGAGATGGGGGGGGGGCTCTAAGGGGTCACCAGCTGGGAAAAGAGAGGGGTCTGTCTTCTCTCATAGACTGCTTTTTCTGCAGGGAGCACCCAGTCCTCCAAGAGGTGACCCAGGTCCACAGTGCATAAAGCAAGGGTCTCCTTGAAGTAGAGAAATCGCACTCCTAGGGTTGTGAGGCGGGAGGGGAACTCTCCATTGATATGGAGGCCCTGCAACATGGAGTGATTGAGTGTGACTGGGATGTAGGATACAGGCCATGAGAAAAAGGGTTTCAGCCTAAAGCTAGAGGGCTCTAGGATGCGAGGCGGGGCGGTGGGTAGGGAGTAAGAAGCAGATGGAAGAAGGCCCTAATGCCAAGTGAGAACAAGACTTAGGCCAGTGATGCTCAGAGCCATGCTCCTGGAGTCAATTCCAAACACTCCCTCACCAGCCCCCTAGGCCTGGTCTCCTCAAGTTCAGGAGCCTGGCCCTCTGCCCACCTCTCTAGTCCCCAAACCTGCATCAATGTACTCCCCTTTGTCCAAAGCCCAGGTCAAGTTTGCCCTGGGTGTCCATCTATCTCCAACCTTAGGAGCTTATGTCCCTTTTCTACTTACCTCACCCAGGACTTAATGGCCCAGCAGTAAGCCTCAGAGTAGGGTCTTTGGCCATCCTTCCTGCAAACTTGCTGGGCATAGAGCCCCTATGAAGCAACAGGATCCTGGGAGTTCCCACCATGCAGCCCATTCCAGCTTCCAAAGCCCACAGTGGGAGAGTTCCAATTTAGCACAAATCCATGGACCAGGCACTGTTCAAATGATTCAGTGCAAATTCCTTCCTATGCTGGTATTACCCAAATTTCCTGGACTCTCACCAGAGCAGAGAGATGGGACTGGGGGCACAGAAGAATTCAGATGTGCATTAACACCAGGATTTCACTGGTTTAAACCATCTGCTACTCATGTCCATAATAATCACATGAGGCCTCGAGAAAGTGTCTTCCCATTGTTCACTCCTGTAAGGATGTTTCTGGATGCACTTGCCTCTAACGAAGCTCTCACTGAGGTGCCACTTCACCTCACTGTATGCCTACCACTAGTGTCTGGTATCAGAGCTCAGTGGTCTCTGAGAGGGGGAAGGCAAACATCCCTTCCCCTGGTGCTAAGTAGTCATGGGCCTTACATCATGGTTGCTCAGTGAGCTCCTGAGACAACGTATAGTTTACACACATTCTCCACAAGGTCAGGGAAGCTGAATGGTTTGGCTTAGACTACTCATCACTTCACTGGCTATATCCTACTATCCTTCCAACTATAGCTTCCCCGGGTTGTCTGTGGCCTGGGGGCTCAGATGCCATACACCCTAATCCAGGAGTTAGGTGATTCCCTGTGCCCTGCAGCTTATGTCCAAGAGCTGTGATCCAGGCACCTGGCACATGGTGAGGTCTACCCTGACCTGTCCTATGACTGGGCTGCAGACAGTCAGTTCTAGATCGAGAGACTGGCGTAGAGATTGGACAGGCCCTGAAGGTGTCATCAGTGGGGAAAGGACTTGAAAGGTCAGTTGGCAGATGTTCTTGCCCCCCACCCCCCATGGGTACACTGGTGTGGGATGCTGCTTTCCTTGCCAGAGTCAACCCCAGACAAACTATGGAGGTAGATATAAATAACTAAAGTTAATTAGAGACTTGTGATTTCTAGTCTGGAGTGTAAGAAGTTTGTAAATCATCGCTTTCATTCTCACAATAAGAAATAAATGCTCAGCAGACGAAAATCAACAACTCTTCTTAGATACATCAGAGAATTGAAGTGACAGGGCAACTGCTGCCCTAAAATTGGCAATTCAGAGGGGCCGGCAGGTGGCATGGTCATTAAAGGCACTGGACTCCCACATGGCAGATTACAGTTTGAATCCCGAACCTGGCAGCTTGCCTTCTCTCTCTCTCTCTTTCTCTCTCGATTCCTCTCTGGTCAAATTAAAATAAGTAAATAAATAAAGCTAAATAAAATAATTATTTTTTAAAAATGGCAATTCAGAGAATCCCAGTTTACCTGCAGGGAAATTCAGGAGTTAAAAAACACCACCAGAGACTGCACTGGAGCAGGAAATCCCAACTTATAACAGACAGCATTTTGGAAGCTCACAGTGGAAGAGTTTAAGAGTTAATTCCAGTGAGTCCAGTCTTAGGAGGCTCACACTTGAGTTTTGCTTCTACAAGCCATACCAGGTTCTCATAATAACAATCAGAGAAAAAAAAAATCCTCTAAGGCTTCTGGCAGGGCGACGGGAAAAGTAATCATTTTGAAATACAGTCGGACAATTAGTTCTCCTTTTCAAAAGCCTGTCCTCAAGAGGAATTGAGGAAGGGAAACACCAAAGTGACCAGATGTAGGAGACAGAGGTGGGGGCAACTAAGAAGCTCATACAAAGGTCACAGCCCAAGGGCACAGGCTCACAGAAAGACTGAGACCTAAATATAAGACTATATAACACTCCCTCTGTCTCATACACACCTCACCACCATGCCAACAGAACATCTTTATAACTGGATTAGAACTGAAGAAACTGCATCTATAAATGCCTTTTTTTTTCTTTTTTGGGGAGAGGTTTTTCGCTATAGGGCATGTGCGCTTGCCAGACAGAGAGAGACAGAGAGAGAAAGCGAGAAATCACCCCCCAGGGGCAATGGCCACGCCGCAATCCCTTCTCCTCCATTCTCCTCTCGGGATCTTGGGCACGCATGCACACGCGCCCAGCGTGAGTTTTAAGCCACCAGGTCCAGGACACGAACTGCGGTCAACTATGTAGGAGTCCAGCAACATAGCCATTACGCTAACTGCTGGTCCCTAAACGCTTATTTAATAAAGGGATCTCTAGAAAAACTCAAAGACAACAATGAAGATAGAAACAAGGGTACCAGAGGAAACAGCCTCTGATATCTACAGCAACACCAAATAATAAACAGAGCCTAAGTACTAGCCAGATAAGCATAAACTCTCACACTAAAGACCTGTTTGCCTCTGTTTCTTTTACCCTATACATAATGTCTGGCTTTCAACAAAAATCTCTGAGATGTTCTAGAAGAAAAAAAGATAACACAGTTTGTAAAGAAAGAGCAAACTTAGAATCAGGCTTAGATATGACAAACATTTTGTGTATTCAGGCCAAGAATCTAAAATAATAACTATGATTAACATGCTAAGGACCCTAAGGGCAGAAACGAAACACATGCAAGAACACGTTGCTGGATGAGGGGCTCTACATCTCCAGTTGAGAATACCATAGCAGATCCAACCCCTCACTGCTCAACAAAACAGAGAGGCAAACTTGTTGATGGGAGAGGAAATGAGAGTTTATACAGTGTGGCCACACTGGGAAGACATGTAAGAATATCTTTGACTGCTCAGCTGATTTACAAGTGCTTTTATAGGGAAAAGGTGATGCTATGGGGCTACTGACGATCTATAGAAAAGCATAGATCAGGTTAATTTTTAACTGGGAGCAAAAATGAGTAATTAGTCTTTGAGACAGAAGTTTCAGTCTTAGTTAAGGAGTACAATAAGATGATTAGTTTTTGAGACAGGATTTTCAGATCATTACTGGGGCAGAACATTGGCTCTTTGTCTTTGGCTCCTGTAAGAAACCTCAGACAAAGAGTATCAGGCTGAGAGAGAAACTTTTGATATTAACAAGATGAGTCAGTTTGGCTTAGCAGGCCCTGGTTACAAACAGATGGACAGTGTCAGCAGAGAGATGGCTACTCTCAGGAAGAATTAGAAGGAATTGCTAGAAATAAAGATATTATAACAGGAAGGAAGGATGCCTCTGATGAGCTCATCAATAAACTAGACATTGCTGAGGAGAGAATCAATCAGTTTGAAGATATGTTAACAGAAACTTCCAAAACTAACATGCAATGAGGTTGAAAAAATAAAAATAAGAGAGAGAGAGAGACAATGACAAAATACAATATGCCAGAACTTCCTGATAATCACAAAAAGTGTAACATGCACAATGGGAATACCTGAAGAAGAGAAAAAGAAAAGAACAGGAGAAATATTTAAAACTATTATGACTTAGAATTTTCTAAAGTTTATGATAACCCCCAAACCATGAATCCATTAGGCTTGGAAAACATCAAGCTGTAGAAATACCAAAAAAAGACTACACCCAACTATGACACATGCATGCTGCAAATGATTAATGACTAAGAGAAAATCTGGAAAGATGCCTGTGAAAGGCAGGAGCACACCTAATCTGCACAGAAGCATGGAAAAATATCACATCAGAAACCATGTAACTAAAAAAAGGCCAGCAGGTGGCGTGGTGGTTAAGGGCACTGGACTCTCACATGGTTGACCATGATTTGAGTCCCAGACTGGCCGCTCGCTCGCTCGCTTGCTTGCTCTCTCTCTCTCCCTCCCTCCCTCTCTGGTCAAATAAAAATAAATAAGTAAGTAAATAAATAAATAAATAAAATTTAAATAAAAGAATTCTTTTTTTTTAGAAAAAAGAAACCATGCAAATAAAAAGAAGGCAGAGTAAAATAGTTAAATTATTGAGAAAAATAAAAAAATCGAACTAGCATTATTCTTAAAACATAAAGGAGAAATAAACACTTTTTCAGACAAAATTTAAGAGAATTTGTCATCAGATCTTTTCGCAAGAAATATTAGAAGAAGTTCTTGGGAGGGTGAGTCTGTGCTCAGGGTCTTGGAGCCACTTTAGGACTTTTGGACTCCATCACCCACCATTCCAGAAGCTTAGGCTCATCCCACCTGCTCACCTGCCTGCTGGGAGTCTTGAGCCTGGTCTGGGCAGACCTTTAGGGTGAGTCTGTGCTGAGATCTGAGAGACACTTTGGAACTTTTGGACTTCACCACCCACCATCCCTGCCAGCCTGGGCTCACCAGGCACACCCGCACACATTGGAACTTTTGGTACACTGATCCGTGTGCTGCGCTTTGTGTAGTGTGTGACTGGATCATCTCCCTAGCATGCTACCGCCTCATCCAGAACTGAATGTTTGGCAGAGGAGTCGAGCACCTGAAGTGACCCATAACTGCTATGAGAAACATAACTGGAACTAAGGTGAAATTTCCTCTACCAGTACTACAGGATCTACTCCGATACCTAGAAAAAAGTGAACACTGCATCAGATGACTAGAAACCAGGACAGACCTTGAAGAAGGATGAGAAATAAATGAAACCAAAAGCTGTTTCTTTGAGAAGATAAACAAAATTGACACACCACTAGCTAGACTAATCAAGAAGAACAGAGAAAGACACGCCAGGCGCATGTGCATGCGTGCCCAAGATCCCGAGAGGAGAATGGAGGAGAAAGGATTGTGGCATGGCCATTCCCCCTGGGGGGTGATTTCTCACTTTCTATCTCTCTGTCTCTCTCTGTCTTTCTGGCAAGCACACATGCCCTATAGCAAAAATCTCTCTCAAAAAAAAAAAAAAAGAAAGAAACAAAAGAAAAAAAAAAGAAAAAGGAGAAGAAGAAGAAAAGAACAGAGAACGAAACTAGATAAATCAGCAAGGGAACAGATGCAATTACAATGGATATAACAGAGACATAAAATATCATCAGACAGTACTATGAGCAACTATATGACAACAAACAAGAAAATTTAGGTGAGATGGACAAATTTCTGGACATGTATAACTTGCCAAGATTGAACTAGGCAGAAATAAAAATAGGAAGTCTATAAATAGACCCAGAACAAGCAATGAGACTGAATCAGTAATAGGTAGTCTCCTAACAAGGAAGCACTCAGGTCCCAATGGCTTTACTTCTGAATTTTATAAAACTTTAAAATAAGAACTACCCCCTTAAGCTATTTATAACAATTCAAAAAGAAGAAACCCTTCTGAATTCATTCTATGAAGCCCCCATCACCTTAATCCCAAAACCAGACAAGACGTGACAAAAAAAAAAAGAAGAAGAAGAAGAAAACTTCAGGCCCATATCCTTGATGAATATAGATGCAAAAATTCTCAACAAAATACTAGCAAACTGTATTCAACAACATATTAAAAAGATTATACACCATGACCAAGTGGTATTTATTTCAGTATTGTTCAACATATGTGAAACAATAAATGTAATTTATCATATTAACAAAAGGAAAGATAAAAACCATATGATCATATCAATCAATGTAGAAAAGCATTCATGATTAAGACTCTCAGCAAAATTGTCATAGAATGGACATTCCTTAACACAATAAAAGCCATCTATGGAAAATGTATCATACTGAATGGGGAAAAGTTGATAGCCTTTCCACTAAAAACTGGAACAAAACAAGACTGTTCACTTTCTCCACTCCTTTTTATCATAGTACTGGAAATTCTAGCCAATGCAATTAGATAAGAGAATCAAAAAAAGGCATCCAAATAGGAAAAGAAGAAATGGAATTATCTCTATTTGCAGATGTTATGATGCTATACACAAAAAAATCCAAAAAAATCTATGGAAAAACTCCCAGAAATGATAAACAAATACAATAAAGTGGCAGGATACAAAATCAACATACGAAAATCTATAGCATTTTTAAAGAAGTTTTTGCTATAGAGTGCGTGCGCTCGCCAGAAAGACACAGAGAGAGAGAGAGAGAGAGAGAGACAGAAAGTGAGAAATTACCCCCCAGGGGGATGGCCATGTTGCAATCCCTTCTCCTCTATTCTCCTCTCGGGATCTTGGGCATACATGCACACAAACCCAGTGTGAATTTAAGCCACTGGGTCTGGGACTCGATTCACAGTCGACTGACTACATGGAAGTTCAGCAACATAGCCATTACGCCAACTGCTGGTCCCCAAATCTGTAGCATTTTAATACACCAACAACAAACAAACTGAGACAGAATTGAAGAAAGAGGAACTCTTGGCTCTATCACAATACACAAAAGTAGCAGGAAAAAATCTGCAGGCTTTCCTGATGAAATAGATTTTGATACAGCCACAAAACACTGCTGAGTCTCTAAATTTTGGTGGAATAGGAATACATGCAAGACCCAGGGGAGACATTCAACTGTTCCTCATGGAAAACTAAGTTTCCTAGAGCTCTGGATTTTCTATGACCAAAATTCCAAAATGTGCACTGTGAAACAAACCCTGGAGTTCCTAGAGAGGTCTTTAAAGCTATCTTTTGGACTGAGAAGAGATACTAATCTGCAAATTATCAGTAACAAATCTGATGAAGCTTCTTCTAAAACTATTGTAAACACAAGTCAGTGAGTTGATTTGTTATCATTTTTCATATTGTCACCTGAAATTCTCCTATGTTATAAAGTGCAGGGTGCAGAAAGGTGTGCTACCTGCTATGTTAACTGAAATTAGTCCTGAATGTGAAGTCCTGATAAAAGTTATGACAAACACTATCAAAGAAAACAAGTGTGAAAATTTATTGAAAAATTCCTATGTATTGCATAAATACATTTAGAACAAGAAGTTAGGTAGGAAAACCCCAAGGAATGGTTTGAGGAGAAGGTATCTCCAAGTGTGTCTCCCAGGTCTACAATTTTTTGCCAGCCCTGTTCTATGGAAATCTTCAGACAGAGTAGAAATAAAAGAGAGTACTATTGATTTTTTCCCGAAGTCATACATAACAATGAAAGGACTGCAGCTGGAAGGGTATGGATGCGCTCACCCCAATGTGAGGGTCCTTTGCCTTGGGGTCAAAGTCTTGCACCGACATCGACATCAGGTGCATGTAATAGCAGGGTAGCAATCTGAAAATCGTCAGGGTGTGCCCACATGTTTTAAGAAAGGACAGCTGGGTAGGTTCGGTGAGAACGCGTTGCTGTTTCCAGAGAAGCCCTACGGCCTCCCTGCCCAAACCTTTGCTCTATTGCAGCGCTCGCCCAGAACCTGTGCTGCGTGTCCCGCGCGCATGCGCCGTCCTAGGTCACGTGGCCCTCTCACTAGAAGTCCCGTGACCTGCAACGGCTCCCAGCGTCAGTTGCCTGGCGGTTCCCGCTAAAGACGACGCGCAGGCGAGAGCGGCAGTTGGGGCTGGGCAGGCATGTCCTTCCCTCCATCGAGGACCTGGTCAGTTACATGAAGAGGAGGTATTGGACTCCCAGCCCCTCCAGGTGCGGGAGCTCACTTGGCTGCAACTACTCAAGGGCGCGGCCCCTCCTGTGCCCCTGCGGCTGCCCTGCCCCGTGCGGGTCTGCGCCCTCCTGCGGCCAGCTCGCTGAGGGTGAGCGTTTGGACCAGGGAGCTGGGCCGGCTGCGGACAGGGCTGCTCCTGTGCCGCTGCGGACGGAGGGCCGTGTCCGTGTGCAGGGCGAGGGGTGCGCGTGGGGCAGGGGGTGCGCGTGGGGCGGGGGATGCGCGTGAGCCTGGGCTGTGTCAGGGCTGCGTCCCTCAGGCCTGAGTCATGAGGACCTTGGGGATGACTTCCTCTGCGTTTGAATCCGTTATCCAGGTCACCACAGAAGTATTGTATCGATAGTTCAGGTCGCCTAGAAGTGAGCGAGGGTCCAAGGCATGTTCTCTCTGAGTCCCTCGTGAAAGTAGCTCACGTAAACAGAAATACCAAGGAGTATGCATATTCTATCCACACTCCACTAAGTTAGCATTTTTGCAAAGATGCTTTTATTCAGTGTGATACTGACTTGCAAGCATAGTTTGCTGTGGATGCAAAACTTTGGGAAACACAAAATAGTTATTTGAGAATAAAACAATGTTATTTATAATTATGTTACAAATGTATCAGTAAAATTTACCGCAGCCATGCATCTGTATATTCATGGTTTCTTGAGTGGTCAATATATCTGATGTGTGAGGAAGGTTTTTAAAAATTATTTACTTTTTATTTCTAGAGGGTAATGTGGATGCACGAGAGAGAAAGCGAGAGCGCACAAATAATCCACTGTGGGGCTTGGTCACGCTGCAGTCGTTTTTATCTCCATCCCTAGGATTGGAGTCATACATGCAGAAGCACCTGATATGTTTTGCAAGTTTTTTTTTTTTAAACTTTTTAGGGCAGTGGTATGTGTGAGGTGGTTGTGTTTATCTAAAAATGACGGTGCACTTGTGCTATACCTCTTTGTGGTTGTGGTAATTCAAAGGGTGTGATGGAGTATTGTATGTCTTATTTTTGTATGTTTATATGTCATATTTAAATATCTACAATTCTCAGTTACTTACTGATTGGTGAGAATCTGGTAGGTGTATTCACGTGTTTGGCTTGGAAGTGTCTGTGTACATTTGCAATTAAGTTTAGGTCATGATTTTTTTGTCACAGGGTGTAGGGTTGAGTATATTTGGAGGGTGTGAGATGTCTGTACCATCAAAGACTTCAGGTTGGATATTTGTAATTTGGTGTTTATGAGAACATTTTCTGTGTTTTCCCCACGAACGCTGGGAATTTGTGTATAATGGCAGGTTTGTAAGGATTATCAGTTTGTGTATGTAAGTTATGTTAGGGAGCATGCTCGTGTATTTATTGTGGTGGGCAATCTGTTTGGGTTGTATACTTGGAGGACAGAGAAAGGCTATTTGTGTTTTCAGGGTATGTTGTGTAGTTATGTGTATTTCTATTTGTGAGTTTTTAAAAGCTACGTGTCTCTTAAATGTTTTTGCTTCTTGGGACCAGCAGATGGCGTCTGGTTACGTCACTGGATTCCCATGTAATCAACCATGGTTTGAGTCTTGGACTCGACAACTTAAAACTCAGGCTAGGTGTGTGTGCATGCGTGTCCAAGAGGAGAATGGAGGAGAAAGGATTTCAGCATGGCCATTACCCCTGGGAAGTGATTCTAATTTTCTGTCCCTCCAGTGAGTTCATATCGCCTATAGCAAAAATCTCTCTTTAAAAAAAAAAAAAATGCTTTGCTTCTTTTTCCCTTTGATTTCCTTCTCACCCTTCCCCATTTCCCACCATCCTCCTGTACTGTCTCTAAGTATCCACAATTGTTCTCCATGCCTTTATATCTTCCAGTCTTTCAGTTTCTGCCATAGAGTACTAGACATTCAGTATACAGTAAGTGGGGACCTGCAATGCTTCACTTAGCAGTTAATCTTCCATGCTCATCCACTTTCTATCAAATGCCAGGGTCTTGCTGGTTTGTGTGTGTGGCTGAGTAGTATTCCATAGTGTATATTTGCCACACTTTTTCAATCCATTCATCTGTTTGTGGCCATTTGGGTTGGTCTCAGGTCTTAGTAATTGTGAATGATAACATCTTTAACTGGTTTGATATAAAATGTATTCACGCTGGGAAATTCACTTTACAAGCTGTAAGGATAGATAGTGGTTGAATGTATTAAAAAAAGGAAAAGGAAACTACGTGTGGATATCTCAGTGTGCGAAGGAGCATGTGTGACTGTTTGGATGAGTCATAGGATGAATATATGCAGTTGTGAGGTGGCGTTCTTCATTTTCTATTCTGGTAGATGTATGTGTTACTTCTCTGAGAATATTTGGAAGTCTGTGATTATGAATATTCAAGTAGTGAAAAGTTACGTGAGTATTTGTGGAGATAGGGTTCCATGTTTGCATATTTGTAGTGTGCAAAGCTCTCGTGGCTGTGTGGACAGTTACATGTTAACGGGTATGTTCAAGGAGCTTTGCAGTTTGGATGACTATTTTTTGAGGGTATATATTTGCATCTTTCAATAGAGGATTAATCGTGGCATATATTCTAGGCATTGAGTATGTATGTATCTAATAGTTAGGGTTCTGTCTTCATATAGAGGGTAATAGTAATGTATTCGTATGTTTTAGTGGCATATGGTTATTTCTTAGTACACTTGGGCACTACATGAAACAATGTCATTGACAGGCTGTATATATGGTTATGGTCCCCTAAAGACCATAAAGGGGCTTCCACCTAGCCTCAGCATGTAGTAGGTTGAACCATGTAGTTTTTGCATGTTTATGCCATGATGTGCACACAGCAATGAAATTGTCTAATGGTGAGCTTCTCAGAATGGGATATCCCAGCTCATCCTGGGATAATATAGGATTTGAAAGTAATATTATATGTATTTAGAAATGGTATACTGAAGATATTTCTATGTGTTTTGGCCGTGTCTACTGCTTTTCATGTATATCCATCAATAGGTAGACGATTGTGTTGTTTATTTATAGAGTAAGGGATTGTTAGGAGTATGCAAAGTGTATTGCTTTGGAGAATGCTAGTGTGTTACTTCATGTATTTGTGAATATTTGGGCGATGAGATGGAAATATTGTGTTCTGGAGATGTGGGTTATTATATATATGAGGGATACATATATTCAGGTTTGGAATTATTTTTTTACGAATACACATGCGCGAGAGTGTGGATGTATCTGAAAGTGTAAAGATTGTGTTTTGCGTGTATCTGTGAGTGTGAGTAGTGTGTCTTTACTCATGGTGAATTTTGAGTGTGTGTATATATAACAGGTTTATAAGCCTATCAGTACTTTTTGGGGTCCTCTCTGTCCTGGAATGTAATATTTGTAGAATGAGATAGTATTGTTTTAACGTATGTGTGTTCTCAGCATTTGTGAGGTAGACTTGCAGGTTTTTTGAGAATAGATTGTAGCTATGCTTGTATGTGAGTTTATGGGGCTGGTATGTTTTGTATTCTAGGAGATGTCATAGGTTCAGTGTATGTATTTTAATACAGAGAGGCTGTGTAGGGGGTTCCTCGTATTCAGGAATTTTGAATTTTGCATATTTTGGGAAATGTGTGGCGCTGTGTGTGGGTTTCATTTTTGCTCTTGTGTGACAACTGTTTATGTTCTTGGTGGCTTTTGAGAGTTTGGCCGTGAAGGGTGTTCATTGTGTACATGTGGGTACTGTCTCTTCCAGGCCATTACTAGGTGGCTGCAGGTACTGCTGGCTCCTCATGGATATGGCTGATGAGTGAGAACAACTTCCACTACAGGATCCTGCCACTGAAAACCTGCATACGTGCAGCCTGCTACCATCTTGTTCCTGGGAAGGATATAGTTGTGTATCTGGTAAGTCTCCAGTAGCCTATCTCTGAAGCTTCAGGGCCAAGCAGGTCCTCACCAGGGTCCCAAAGTTGAGAGAAGCTTTGCATTTATGTACAAGGAGCCAAGTCATGTCTCAGTGAGTTAGGGTCAAAAACGGAGTCAAACACATGAGGCATCTGGGGCCAGCAGTGGGCCTAGTCGTTATGGTGCTGGACTCTCACATGGCTAACTGCAGTTTGAGTCCCAGACCCACAGGCTTGAAACTCATGTCAGGTGCATGTGCGTGTGTGTGTGTGTGCATGTATGTGCATGTCCAAAATCCCAGAAGGAGAATGGGAGAGAAGGAATTGTGACATGGCCAACCTTCCCTGAAGAGCGAATTCTCACTTTCTCTCTCATTGTCTCTCTTCTCTCTGGTGAGTACAAATGCCCTATGGCAAAAACCTTAAGAAAAAAAAAAAAAAACATGAGACATCTCCTTTTCCTAGTGAAGCTCTTTGCTATTTCTTCCTGAAGGTCTGTACAACAAAAGCACAATTTAATTAAGTAACCAAAGGTAGTTCCTGATGTGTCCTTGTAAGAGGTGTCATCCAGTGTCTTTGGGGGCAAAAGCTGAATCAGCTTCATGGTGGATGTCTTTGGGCAGATCCTGACACTCCCAGCAGAGCTGGGCTGTAACTCTAGAGTAACATGGTGAAGGAAATAGGAAGTAGAGATTGAAAACTTTAGAACAGGCTTGGAGAGTGGTCCAAGGAAGCCTGAGTTGGCCCTGGCTATAGTTCTTGGACAAAAGCCAGACAGGGAGACTGAGTAGTGACACTCCAAGTTTGGGTGCAGGTGGGGGTGACCAGCTTGTATACTCCTTACCAGGACACCCCAGAGTGCCGGCATAGGTCTGCCATAGCTGAGCAGAGATGTACATGGAGCCTGCTCTAGTAGGTGAGGAAGGTGGGCATTAATGAGAAGAGGAGCTGTGTCTGTACCTCTGCGCATGGTCTGAAGGGTGAGGGGAAAGCCTGCTGGGATAGTATGCCCGTCACTTGCTTTAGATCATCTGTCATGGGAGGCTCCTGACCCCAAAGATGGAACAAATCCAATTGCCTTGAAATGTGTCACCTGCTGGTTCTGGCCCTCCATCTCTGACAGGTTGGGAGCTGACCTGAAAGAGGCTGGGTCAGTGAAGTGACAGGAACAGAGGGTGGGAGGCTCAGTCTTAGGGGTAAGGGATGAGACCTGGATACACTGGAAGAGGTGGCTCTGTTGTTCCTGAGCCCATTGGGCCTGATCTCCTTTCTTGTCTCTGTCCCCTGTTAGCTGCAAACCAAGAGAGGGAGCCCAGTGACCAAGAACCTCCAGCTGCCCTCATATCCTCCTCTGCTTCTATAGGACCCATCAGGATTTCTGGGCCTTGCTTCCTAGGGTGAGTTATTTTGGGCCTTTTCTTCCCTGTGGCGAATCCTCCTGCTTGAAACATGCTGAGAGTGCCCTTTTGGGTGTTCTAGTAACCGGTTTCCTGTGGGACACATGGACCCCTCACTTCCCTTTCTGTCTGAGGCTAACATGATGACAGCACATTGACCACCTAGTGTTATGCTGGATTAGTGAAATGCAGCATTGTCTTCTTTCATATTTTATATCATTATGTATGTTAAATAAGATACTCTACAGTGTATACCAGGTAGATCTTCTTGGACGTTTTGTTTGTTTGGTTGGTGCTCTTTTTTTTTTTTTTTCCAATCGAAAGTCATAAATCTTGAGTTTTAGGGGATAAGAACAGTCAAATCTCAGTATCCCAAGTCAGCACTAAAAATCACCCAACCCAGTGCAGGAATGACTGCTGGAGTGACTGAGTTGGAGTATGCTAAATGTTCTTGGGGTAATGTTTTCGGGGTGTATTTTATGGGACTTACCTTGGACCCATGTCAAGAGACAAAATAAATCTTCAGCTTTGTCCTAAGGGTTCCCTCTGACGAGGGCCTTAGAATCCTCTGAATGCCCTATATCCCAGGAGTTGATGGGAAAATTATTTGTCCCCATCTCAGTCCACACTGTGAGGACCCAGGGCCCTACAAAGACAAAGAGGGTCAGATTACACCAAGAAAGAGAAAGTGCATTACTGAGGTTCTACTTACACACTGGAGGCCATTCTGATTTCTCCTGGGAAAGCCTAGGGTCCCACAGAGGAGGCCATGGTCAGAGGGACATAGAAACAAGGCTCAATACACAGACCCAGGGTAAGGTCATGAAGCTGACTGGACCTCAGAACAGAGCAAGGGAGGCCAAAAATGAGGAACTAGGCCTGAGGCAGGTTGTGCCTATACAGGCGGTGGTGGAGGGATCATGTCGGGGTATGACATCCCTCACCAACAGCCCACAAGTCCCTCAACCACTATCCTTTGCCCAGACTGAGACCCTGGAACTGTAAAGAGCAGGGAACACTGAAGTGGCAGTTTGTAGCTCAGGCATTTAGTCCTTCCTTCAAGATAAGACTTCACTCCTCCATTAATTGAGCAACAAATATGTTCGTAGTGCCCTCGATTAGAATTGGGGTGTGTAGTAGCCCAAGATGTCTTCAGGGGAACGCCCAGAAACCTAATCAGATATGGGGAAAATGTGGCTGGAGGGGCCAAACAGGGCCGCTGGCAGTGGGAGGCAGGAGTCCTTACAGGGCCTGATTGGGGTGATCCTTCCATATGGGGATTCTACCATGTTGGGGGAGCTTCATCACCAGAGGAGGTACCCAAGATGTCACCTCTCGTTTAAAGTATGTCCTCGGCATTGTGCACCTCCTCATTGGTTGGAAAGTTCTTGGAGCAGCCTGGATCAGGTGAAGAGTCTCAGGTCTGAGAGCTGCTCAAATCCTTCAGACCCAATGGAGGCTTTGTGACACCCATGACCTTGGGAATGCAAATCAACCTCCCTGCGGTTCAGCTTGCTTATTTGCAAAATGGGGTGTGGTGCTAACAAGACAAGATTTTGAAAATTCAGTTTAATAGCCATCCAGACTCTGTAGTAAATGGCTCATAGCCAGTCCCTGTCATACATGATACTTTGTCTATTTTATGTTAGTCTCAGGCTGACTCTGGGAGTTTGACATGCTGTGGGGTCATCCTCTTGCTCATCTAACAGCTTTAGAAAACATGGTCAGTGTCCCCCATTGGAGGATGGAGGACCTGGGAGAGCTGCAGTAGTGAAAAGATTATGTAGAAGACTAAAAAGTCAGGGATATAAAATGAAGGACATGGTATGAACAATGTAAAACCAGCAGAAAAATAGAACAGCACATCTTCTATGTGAAAGAAAACAAAGCAGAACAGAAGGAAAGTGAACCAAGAAGTTTGTCAAACAAAAAAGTAATAACAGGCCATCCAGTGGCATAGTGATTAAGGCAGCAAGATATGATAAGGCTGACTGCATGGTTTGAGTTTCAGATCTCTCTCTCTCTCTCTCTCTCTCTCTCTCTCTCTCTCATTCACTCACTCCCCAAAAAAGATAAGCAATGAGATGATAGATGTACACCTCATATTAGATGTTAGGGTAGACAGTGCCATGAAATAGTTCACAGACTTGGGGATTGGGGGATAAATGCAGAGAAAAGGTTTCTTCACTTTGACTGAGAAGAAAGGGGCCAGATGCAGAGGGCTGCATCAGTCCTGAATGTGGGGGCTAGGAATTCTTGCTAGAAGTTCCATGGGGACCTGCAGAACTTAGAATGTTAATGTGAGCAGCCCAGTGGAAAACAGGTACTTTGCTATGATTAATGCTTATTTTTGTGAATAATGTTCTGTTTTTTCCTTTACAATAAAATTCACATTAGTAAATGTAGTAATATTATAGTGAGCTTACCAAATGTAATTTGGAATGAACTTTATAATGATTTTATTTATTGTGCTGATATTCATATTATGAAATTAAATGTTTTTTAAAGTTTATTTCATGAAAGAGATAGGTAGAAAAAAGAAAAATACAAGCAACCTTGGTAGGGTCTCATACTGCTGTTTGTTCCATCCTGCCTGAGCTACTGTGAATAGCCAGCTTCATTTCCTCTTGAACCTGAAAAATATCCTACTGTATTGATGTGTATTTGTTCATCAAATCAGCCGTTGATAGACAATGGGACTGTTATCCTTTTGGTAGTTGGCAGTAGTGCTTCTGTGGATGTTTGTGTATAGGATTTTATTTCAATACCAGTTTTTAATTATTTTGTAATATGCCTAGGAATGGAAATCCCTGGATGTTATGGTAATTCTATGTATATACTTTTAATTTATTTTATACATTTCAATCACTGTACATCATTTAGCTTGCGAAGTGAATTTATCAACATGAAAGATACTTTACTCCAGTCCAGCTGAGGATGCTATAGACATCATCATCAACTGATAATAACTATTCTGAGTTCTTTGACTTCCTTGATTAGGTTTATCCCTAGGTACCTTTTACATTTTGTGACTATGGTAAAGGGATTATTCAGTTATACCTTGATCCACTTGTTGTTTGTATATAGAAATGCTATAGATTTTTGGATGTTGATTTTATATCCTGCCACTTTACTGTATTCATTTATTACTTCCAGAAGTTTTTTCATGGATACCTTTGGTTTCTCTATGTATACCATCATGTCATCTGCAGATAGAGATATTTTCAAAACTCTTCTATCAATATTTAAATGCCTTTTATATTATTCTGTTTTCTGATTGCAGTGGCTAGGACTTTCAGAACTATATTGAAAAGGAGTGGAGAAACTGGGCAACCTTGTCTTTATCAGTTTTTAGTAGAAAGCTTTCAACTTTTCCCCATTGAGTATAATGCTGGCTCTAGAATTTTTATTGACAGCTTTTAGTGTGTTGAGAAATGACCCTTCTATGCCAATTTTGTTGAGCTTTTTTTTTAAAAAAAATTATTTTTAACTTTATTTATTTATCTTAATTTGGCGAGAGAGATAGAAAGTAAGCCACCAGGTCTGGGACTTGAACTGCAATTGGCTAGATGGGAGTCCAGTGCCCTTAACCACTATACCTCCTGCCAGCCACCAAATTTGCTGAATCTTAATCATGAAGAGATGTGTTTTGTCAAATTATTTTTCTGCATCGATTGAAATGACCATATGGTTTCTTTCTTTTATTATGGTGTAATACATTTATGGTTTTGCGTATATTGAACCACCCTTTTATCCCCAGAATAAAGCCTACCTGGTCATGATGAATACTATTTTTTATATGTTGTTAGATATGTTTGGCAAGTATCTTGTTGAGAATCTTTGCATCTTTATTCATCAATAATATTGGTTTGAGTTTTCCTTTTCTGTCATGTCTTTATCTGTTATGGGGATAAAGATGATGGAGGCGTCATAAAATGAATTTGGAGGATTCTTTTCTTTTAGATCTTTAGAATAATTTGAGAAGAATGGGGGTTAACTCTTCTTTAAAAGTTTTGTAGAATTCAGAAGTGAAGTCATCAAGGCCTGATATTTTCCTTTTTGGGAGGTTATTTATTACGGATTCAATCTCACTTCTCATTAGTTTGAATAGGCTTTCTATGTCATCTTCATTCAATCTTGGTAGATTATATGTGTCTAGGAAGATCTCGCCATTCCCATTCTTGTTTTGATCTGCATCTCCCTTATGATGAGGGATGTTAAGCATTTCTTCTATCATATGCTTTTTGACTGTTCATATATCTTCCTTAGAGAGTTGTTTATTCAGTTAATTTTCCCATCTTTTAATTCAGTTAATCTTTTTCTTCTGTGTAAGCCACTTGAGTTCCCTGTGTATTCTGGTTATCAGTCCCTTATCTGAGGCACATTTAACAGAAATTCTCTACCATTATGAGGGATGCCAATTCACACCAGTTATGGTGTCTTTTGCTGTGCAGAAACTTCTTAATCTGTTGTAATCTCACCTGTCTATCTTGGAGATTATTGGCTGTGCCTTGGGGGTCTTACTTAAGAAGTCTTTGCCTATCCCAAAGTCTCCCAGAGTTTTCCACCAGTAGTTTTATAATTTGCGATCTTAGGTTTAGATCTTTGATCCACTTTGAGTTGATTTTTGTTAATGGTGACAGATAGGGGTTCAGATTCATCTTTCTGCAGGTGGATACCCAGTTTTTCCAGCACCATTTGCTAAAGAGGTTTCCCTTTTCCCACTGGATTAACTGATATCCTTTGGTCAAAGATCAGTTGGCTATATATTTTGGAGTTTATTTTTGGGGTGTCTACTCTGTTCCATTAGTCCTCATGTCTATTTTTGTGCCAATACCATGCTGTTTTGATTATCACAGCTTTGTAATATATTTTGGGATCAGTATGTGAGATGCCCCCTACTCCACTCTTGTGCAAAATGTCTTTGGCAATGTGGTATTTTATGATTCCACACAAATTTTATGATTTTTTTTTCTAGATCTGTGAATAATATCTCTTGT